ATTTGAGCTGGTGGATAGCGATGTGGTTTGCATCGTATCGGCTGAGCGCCTTCCACTATTGTCACTCGGAGTGGTTCATCAAGTGCTGGTTCGTCTGGACCAACTTTAGTTCTCCATAGCCGCTTGTATGTATTATGGATGTCGAGGAGTTTCGCGTTGAAATCGCGTTGAGTCTCGTCACTGGTCAGAACCTTAGTTTTGTCACATCCGCTTGAGTTCCACATTCACCTTTTCATCAATTAGATCACCAACTTCTGGTTCGTTTGGCAGGTCATCACGATTCAATTCAATGCTTGTGTTGGCCAATTGCTCCAAAGCTGACTTGACATTGATTACCAATGCCTCCAGAACATCTCTGCCCAGCATGAACTGGTCATCACCTTTTTCCAACACATAGCACTTGACGTTATGGACATTGACTGGCCTAGCCGCTGTACGGATCTGTAGGTCCAGGAACACCATCGACGTGCACGTCAATTGCTTCTGTCCCGCTGCTTTGACCACCGGCGGGTTCGTAATTGGCAAGATTTTCACGTCCTTGCACCGCTCTTGCATTATTTTGACGATTTTGACTGGTACAATGCTATTATCCGCTCCAGTACCAGGACACATAGAGACTTTCAGAACTCCATTGATCAGCACTGAATACTCATCTGACGCATCGTCTTCTTTGACAATAGATCCATCAAGAGGACCCTCTTACATGACATCATATTTCACCGCCACTGGCATCACTTGCCAGCTTCTCTTTTCCCGTTGCGTCTTCAACAGTTCTTCGCGTTCTTCGGGTGTCGCCACTGGACAATCTCGAACCCAATGACTTTCTTTACAGTGTAGGAAACCGTGGCGAGGTCCGGATCCACTTCCACTCACGTTTCCCCTACGAGCTTGCATCTGAAGGTCGCGCCACTTGGTCAGACGTCGAAGGGCTGTTCACAGTTGGCTCGCGTTGTACCGGTGTAGTGTGATTCCCATCCCTATTAGGAAATCCTCTACCCGATTTCTTGGCACTTGCTTTGGAAGATCATTCCCGTCCATGGAATCTGTTGTAGTACAGCTGTTGCAGCGTGGCTCGCTAAAGTACCAACTTGTATAGCAGTTGATCACTCAACTTGACGTTCTTATACTTGGGCTGCTTCAGCATTCCCTGGATCTTTTCCTTCAGCATTGGTGGTTAAAGGTTCTCCACCAGTATTTTGTTCCGCTCCTTCATGCGATCTGTATAGTCTAGGTCCCCTGTCCGACCACGACCCAGATTCTCTTGAAACCCATTCTCTTCAACTATTTGCTTGAATAGCATATAGTTTTTGGATACACGACTGGGAACATCTTCAATGGAAAGATCCCGAAACCCAATCTCTTCAACTATTTGCTTGAATAGCATATAGTATTTGGATACACGACTGGGAACATCTTCAATGGAAAGATCCATTCTCAATTGCTTGTTGAATAGGCCGGACGGGTCACTGACGTATGCCTCATTCATCGTTTCACATCGCTCTTTGATCTTCTCCATGATCTCATCGTCGGAGATGTCTTGTTTGTCTTTGCCAAATTTTTATTGAGACAAGAAATCCAGCAAGTTGGGATCAATGGTGGTGCGGATACCAGCTACCACATTCTCGAATGACTCATTGATCCACCGACAACGTACTGGCCCCGGACGCCACTGTACGAGTGCCGTTTGGTCCCACTCTTTCATCTTCGGCGGCACAATATATTCGTATAC